TGGCGGAGGGAAAGAAAAGCCAGCCTTTGCCCGGCCCAACCCCCTGATAGGGGAGAGAGCTGGGCCAACCATGGCCTCAATCCAGATCACACCCCCACCCTGGTGGCCGAAGTGGGGAGAGCCAGGGCAAACCAGGGCTGCCTACCACCAGAGAGAGGGGTTACTGAGCATAGCGAGCAGGGGGCATGGCCCCCTAGTATCCCTGAAGGTGAGTATTGCTGTTTTATAGCTTTAGAGGAGCTCTCATCTCCAACTAAGAGGTTTGAGGAGAGAAGCCAAGAAGGTCCTGATACTCTGCCCCAAAATATCAATCATGTGCATGACTCAACTTCACAAGTAGCTTGTAGCAAAAGACACTGCATATTTCCCTTTATTCCTGGGGCAGGGAAATTTGTGTGTGTCCAGGGCAACTGATCCACAGAAAAATTAGTCAGAGCCACACATGTGAGAAACAAGAAAAGAAAAAACCTCACTGACCTGGACCCCAAGAGAAAAGGAGGGAAAAACCCTCAAAACCTCATTCCTCACAATCTCCCAACCCCATGTGGGGAAATAGGGGCGGAGGGCATAGACGCTCAGGTCAGGCGTAGCCAGGTCCGGGCCAAAGTAACTCTTCTGGGGGCCCACTGCTAATAGATTTTTCTGGAGCCCTCTCAGCTCTGAGGTGGGACCAAAAAAAGAGGCGTTTAGTGTGTGGGAGAAGCTGCTGGGGAGCAGACCGGCAGTGCAAGGTCTTGGCAGTAGGTAGGGTGCAGGAACAGACTGGGGATGTGGGGTCTGGGAAGGGGATTGGGGCTCCTACCGGACGCAGCTCTCAGAAGGGGGGAAGGAGGGACAATGCACAGGTGGCTCCACAGCTCCCTGTGTTAGCAGGCACTGCCGCTTTCCCCCCTCCACTCCTCCCACTGACTGCCATTCCCAGCCAGTGGGGGCATGACAGGAGTGGTGCCTGTAAGCGAGTGCAGAGAGAGTTTCCCTGTGGTGCTGTTCCCAGAGCAGTTTCCTCCCCACTGCCAGGCAGAGCCAACAGGCCAAATGCAGCCTGCAGCTTGCCTTGATCCTGTCTGAGAGGCTCGGGGCACCTGCCCTCACTCTGCTGGGGGCACGGGTTGGGAACAAGCCTCGAGGGCCAGGTCCTGCAAGTTCCCCAACCCTGCTTTGGTCTTTATATCCTCAAGTAGACTCCCAAGGATACAGGAATGTTGTTCCTACCACTGTGCTCTAAGGCAGAAGTAGTAATAGATTAGACCAGAAAGAACTGAACAGTAACAAATGTTTTGTACTCCTGCCCAGTCTTCACAGAAGAGAAACATTCATCACTTCAGGCTGGTATTCTTCTAGGCTGTGGAAACTATATTTTAATCTAAAGTTGTGTTATAAAAAAATCCCACAAGCTCTTATTTTTGTGAATTCAGCAAACATTCATTTTCTCTAGTTTGTCAGCAGTAGAAATATTTGTATATAGATTTAACTTACTCACAAAGGCAGGAAGTCTCTAAGTGCTAAGTTCTCTTTATGTTGACCCCGCCTCCCCTTTTTGTCGTCCCCCCCCACCGCTTGCATGCCCTCTTTCAACCTATTTTTCCTCATCCTGTTCTTCTAATATCTGTCACATTCCTTTATGCAACCAGTATGAGAAGTTATCAGGTGTTGCTAACTAGGTACTCATGAACATGTGGAATATGGTAAGGAACTTCTATATGCTACAAAGATCCTCAAAATCCAACTAGTACATTAGAACCTTAGTAAAACACAGAAAATAAAGCTAACATTTCATTTTGAGGAAGGGCATTTTCCTCCCATATACAAGCAGTTGAGGGTGTTTGGAGGGGCAAGAGGAAAGTCAGAGGAAGAAAGTGTAAACTTAAAATATTTACCACTCCTTCATAATTTTGTCCCTCATCACCGTGACCTTTAACTCAGGTCTGGTCATACAGAGATCTTGGAGGATCTTGTTCCTTCCCATAGGACTCAGTGGTCCTTCCATTCTCCAGTGATAACTGCCATATGAGTCCAAAAAGTCCAAATTCAGTGGTCCTTCCATTCTCCAGTGATAACTGCTATATGAGTCCAAAAGTACAAAACATGAGGTCTACTCTGGACAGAAGCTATCAGGAGGTAAAGGGCCACATTAGGCACTATAGGGAGAGCATTACTTCTAGGGAGAGCACTATTTTCTCTTCAGCTCAAGAGACCTGGGATCTCACCTACAAACAGTAGTATTGCTGAGAAAGTTGCTGCAACATCCATTGCCGAAAAGCTAATTAAGGAGAGGAAATGCTGGTTTCATTGAGGAAATTGAGTCTTTTCTAATTCCTTCACTCAACCATCACAACTGCTGATATTCCAGCAAGAAACAAACAGCCAGGATCCTTCTCTCCACATTTCAGACAGTGACACATGAGTTGAGTAAGGACTGAACAAGAGACCATGGCTTAGTAAGGATTATAGCTGTCATATCTGGACAGGAAAAGAACAGCAGGAGTGACCCATGTGTGATCAACATGAATGCAAACTGAAATTACATTCAAGGGAGCTCTACAGTAAACTGAATTTTGTTAATTTGCAGGTGAAAAATAAGAACATTTTTGTAATTTTAATTATATACTAATAAATGTAGTACATTTGTGTAAAAACAGTATGCATCACATCTTCAGGTAAAACAGTGAAAAATAGTTCTTACCTCAACAGAGCATCGAGGTGTCACAAAGAACTGTTTAAACTCATCAGGGCTGAACTCCCCAAAGATATACTGAAAAAAAGGAGAGACATACTGTTATATGAGGATTTACACTATATCTCATTAGGAAATTCAAGATAAATAATTTTAAAAAGAGCAGTGACACTTTAAAGGTCTATTCATGACAATGGGAAATAAAACTAACATTGTACCCCTGCACTTTCACATTCTTTTCTGTTGACCTGAGCAAGTTACTTAATTTTCATAGTCCTGTCTACAACAATGCTTTTCTTTAAAATTCCCACCATTGGTAACTGGAACTTCAGTGTATACTGACATTCTAGAGAAGGCCCCCATCACTACAAACAGGTGTTGATGGTAAAAAATGATTGATTTAGAATTGGCAGAAAATTCACATAGTAATGACAGGAAATCACGACAGAAATGTCTAACAAATTAGGTTTCACTGGCTCAGTGTGGAGTCCAATATTATTTATAGACTTAGGGCAGGTCTACACTAGGCAGCGGAAATCAACATAAGAACTTCGAGTCATGCTAGTAAACTAACTCAAGGCAACCTTGCTTAGACCTACTTACCCCCATGATCTACACCACGCAGGGTTGATGGGAGAAACTCTTCCATCAACTCCCCTTACCCATCTTAGTCCAGTGGAGTCCCTGAGTCAACATCTGAGTCATCGGTGGTCGATTTAGTGAATCTTTACTAGACCCAATAAACTGACCCTTGGTGGATTGACTGCAACATTGTCCATCCCAGCTATAGCGGAGAAAAGCCCTTAAGAACTGTGTAGATATACAGCACTAAAGCTGCATCACTGTAGCACTTCATGAAGACAGTCTCTATGCCAATGGAAGAGCATCTCCTATTGGCTTAGGTACCCCACCTCCTTGAGAGGCATTACCTATGTTGATGGGAGAAGCCTTCCATTGACATAGTGCTATCTACGCTGACCAATGTACTTATACTGACATAAGTTGGTAGTGCAGACCAGTGTTTCTTACCTTTTATAAAAAAATAAATAAAATCCCCTAGAGCCAGGTGCCCCAATGCACACACCCCTTCCCCAGAGAAAGGCCGCCCCAGGTCCCCGCTCTAACCCAATCCCCGTCCTCTCCCCAGAGCCACACAGCAGACGTATGGTAACCCTACCTTTGAAGTGCTCACTCCCACCACCCGGCCCTGCCTCGGCAGCTTGTCTGCATACAGCAAGTGGCCTGCTAGCGCTGGACTCACCGCATGGGGCTGTGCACTCCCACCCCAGCCCGGTGCCCCTCTAGCGGGCTGCCCGGAGGCAACTGACTCCCCCCACCCCCCACTATGCACTGATGCGGAGGGATCCTATGGAGCAAAGCTTATTGTGCCACTTAACCGCCTTTTAGCTCCTCTCCACAGTGCAACAAGAAAGGGGTGATCGGGATGCATTGTACTGAGCTGCTGGCGGGGGTGGAGAGTAATGCACATCTCCAGGGTCAGCCGCCCTCCCTGCTGGAGCACCCCAAGGAGGCTGCTGGAGAGGAAAAACTCAGGTGAACTAGGAGAGGCGGCATTGGAAGTGATTTTTTTTCTCCCCGCCCAAACCTGCCCCCCAACTTAGAACTGCCCTGGATCTCAACAGAGCTGCCGCTGCCATGTGCTTTTTCCGCCAAGTGCTGGATTGCATACACAGAGTGGCTGTTAATGTCCAGGCATAAGGCTCCAAACGTTCAATTTCACAGGCACATGCTGCTGCCCCCTCGCTGATCTCCTTGGCAGGGCAAAATCCCTAACACTTTTTGCCAAATTTCACTTGTGTTGAGGTACCTTCCCAGACTTCTCTTGTGTACCCCTAAGGGTACGCATACCACAGGTTGAGAAACACTGGTTTAGACCATGGGTCAGGAAGAGGAACTAGTTGAATGGTGCCTACATATTCAGATGAGAAGTAAGATAGTTGGCACAGTGCAGGTTATTAAAATATAATATGAAACTTTAAATAAACTAAGGAAATAGGTAGATGATTGAAAGAAACTAGTTTTCAATGTCTGGAAATATAAAAGGATACAATACACAGCTAAGTTCCCTTTAAGATGCATGACTACACGGCTGCATAGCTATTTTAAGAGCCCCGCTCAGAGGTTCAAAGCTCCCGCACAGGCAGGGAGCTCAGCTGACCTATGGGAGTGGGGCGTCTGTAAGCAGCAGCTAAATGGAGCTGAGCTGCTTGAACTGAAGAGCTACCAGAACAGATAAGCAGACCAGATAAACAGGCAAGATAAGCAAGGATTAAGTGGTGGGGAGGGGGGCGGAGAGTGCGAGGGAGGGAGTAATTAACTAGCTAGGGGGAGGGTGGGAGTAGAGAGGAGGGGAGTCTGAAGAGTCTCATCTGCCCAGAGAGAGATGGAGGCAGAAACCCAGCAGTCTCTTCAACCCTCCTGGGCTGGGAAAGGAAAGGTAAGGGGCTGACTGGATGGGGTAGGTGGGAGAAAAGAGGAGGGTGAGTGGGTGCTGGCATCTGTGCAGCGAGGAAGAGGTAGGGAGCAGTTTGCTTGCTGAAGTCCTCTCTGGCTAGCTAGGTTGGGGATGGGGAAGCAGGCTGCATGGGGAGTGTTGAGTGCCTGGAGGACATTTGCATAATTGAAAAAACTTTAAAAATAACAGTCTTAGCACCTTCGTTATTTTTTAAGTTTTTTTGGATACAGACACATGCATGATTGATTTCAAACAAAGTTTAAATAGGTGTTAAAGGCTTAAGATAAGAAAGAAAAAGATTTTAACCGTTTTTTTGGAGCATTGCAGATATCTAAAATTCTGAACTTAATTTTTTTAAAATCCTGTGTTACTAATTAATATGTGGTAAACTATATTGCATTAAGGCCAGATCTTTACTATGAGGTAGAGTTCTATCTCTGAGTCAGAAGTAGCAAGTACTAGGTGTGATGTTAGTTTTATAAGATGAAACCTTATTTGCAAGCTCTTTGAAACATGCATCTGTCTACAAACCCTAAAGCCATGTGTTAATTTGTTTTGGGGCTTCTACTCTTCATGGAGTGGAAGATGGCTTTGTATAGCAGCTTTGTAGGCACAAACAGTAACCTCATAGCAACTAGACACGGGTGTCCTGTTTTAATATATTTTCTTCCACACATATGGATTGCTTAAAATATGTGTGTGTGTTTTGTTTGTATTGGTAGTGCACATCCACACACTACCTCTAAATTGGAGTTGCACATAAGAAATTTCATCACGCCCAAAAGAAAATTCAACCCATCCAAGGATAGAAAATGTTAGAGGGAACATTGATCAGCAGATAAAGTAGCCACAGAAATTGTTGATAAGGGTCATTAATGGCAAAAAAGGTGGTGTACTTAGTAACTTTTAATGGCAATGTTACATAGCAGTTGGTCACAAACTCTCCCTCAGAAAACCCAGATGGACAACAGCAATGGTACCAATGCCTACCTTTTGCTAAAGGTAAATGTTCTTTTGACCATATGGAAATGTACATATCCAAGTCTGAAGTTCTATTACACAAAGTTATCTGAGAGTTGAAAATGTGTATATTTCATCTGTAAAATCAAAGGTTGCATTGTAATAGGCAGCACATGGAGGACATCTGCTTTAGCTCTGCAAAGAGAGGCCAGAGTGGCTCTCCATGCAACTCCCAGCTATTTGCCGCTGACTCTCCCTATAGCCACAGCTCCCAGCTTACTAGAAGCTGCAGAATACACTCTCCACTAGGAATGTTAAAATGTATTTTATTATATAATTGTGTAACCACTGAAATTTTAAATTGGGAGTATTATATAATTGTGTAACCACTGAAATTTTAAATTGGAATGGATTAGAGGCAGCAGCAAAGGGGGGAAGCAGGCAGGAATCAATGCAAGCAGGGAACAAACTTTTAAGGCTCCCCATGCCTACAGGCTCCTGCCGGCCCTCCCCACCCCCCAACACTTTACACAACAGCCATAAAGTAAAAGATCAACATAGGACACTATGAAAACAATACATCCTTTAAGGATTCTTTAAGCAGCTGCTACATATCTATTCAACACTCAAAGGATTCACTTAACATCTCAAGAACAGAATTCTTAAAAGGTATTTCAACTAATTGGGCCATAGCTCTTGGGTAGGTCTACTACACTTAAAAACTGCATTTAACACCTCTCCATTATGTTCTTAACAAAAAGATATGCTGAATCTAATTTATGTTTTTATGAGACTTTTTAGGTGCAGTCCTGCAAAATAAAAAAAACCTAACAATAGAGTTGAAAAAGCTGCTATTCAAATGACACAATCATTCTCACATACAGTAATTACTCATTTAACACATGCCCACTTAACATGTTTTCGCAATAGCACAATTTTTTTAAGGGAACGTTTTTCAAACACAACCGTCCCCGAAATAACACGAAAATAATCAAGTAGTGAACTACTTTGCGTGGCAGTATAAGTTGATGAAAACCGTGGTAATGTGCATGAACGGATGAATTCGGGTGGTCACAGCACTCCTCTGCTCACTCACATGTTTATCTTTGTGTTTTAACAAACCGTGGCAACTTGTGTTGCTAGATATCTTGTGTTGCTAGATATCTAATGCTGACATTGACGACACAGCACAAACAAAAAACTGACTTTGCCACCACCACCTAAAATGGAACCCCAACCTTTTCCATTATTTTTAATGGGAAAATTGACCCCGCATAGCACGTTTTTGCTTAGCACAAACATTTTCAGAAACGCATGTATAGTGTTAAATGAGGAATTACTGTACAATACACTCTTCCCTCCCTATCTACCAAAACACTATATAAATACATTATGAGCCCGTCAGTGCTCTCTAATGCCATGAATGAAAAAACATCCACTGGTTCCAACAGAAGAATGATCAAGATCTAAAGGCACTGTTTTTTTATTAGGATTAACAGGACAAAACTAGTATTAATACTATGCTCATGGAATCCCTTTCCTTAGATTTTTCTTATAGCAATGTTTACTTGATATATATCACATCCCACTATTGCTTGAAACAGCATGAAGTAGTGCTTTAAACCTCAGCTACCTAAGACCA